CCCCCACATTAATGGAATCAAACAAAATTGGTGTCAATCAGTTGTGCTATGTTTGTGCTGGTTTGTGCTGCTAAAATTGTCATTTGTGCTGCTTCTGTTTTAAAGATATTAATGAAAAGGTAAAGGTCAAAAGGTCAACCAGCCCCCCCATATTACCCAAATCAAAGAAAATTGATGTCCAAATCATCAACTCCAATATTGGTTCATTAAGCAAGACTAGCAGTAATTGCTGTAATTGCAGTAATTAACAAAGTCGTTGTTCAAACAACAAGATTGTGTTTTCCTGAAGTGTTTAACTTGTGTAAAATGAATTGAAACAAATTTCACTTTACATACTTCAATAAATCACTTCAAGTCAATGCAAGTATACTATGTTGATCCAATGTAATCTGATTACATTAAACCACCAAATGTCAAATGCGTTGGTTTGCCATCGTCAAAAATGGTTTATTGTACTTGGTTAAATCACGTGTAAAAAGGTGCCATGATTAAATTGTTTTCATTCAACAACAGATTTTTTTGAGTGTACGACGGTTTGAACTTTGAGAGTTTAAACAAGAGAGAAAAGTGTGAAAATGTTCATGCCTGTCTGAGAAAAGTGTATAAAGTGTGTAGTGAGGGGTTTTACAGCCTTAAAACATCTAAAATAATTGTAAAAATAAAGCTGGCTACTTCGTGGATTTCACTTATTGCGGGTTATTTTTAGAACGTAACTACCGCGATAAACGAGGGACCACTGTACACGTCAGAATCACTTGTTCTCAGTGAAATATGGTCTTTTAATGCATCATTAAAAAAAAAAAAACGGTTTAATTCTTTAAGTAAGAGGCTAACAGTTTTCTGTTTTCAGTTTGAGGCTGAAGCGCTGGTGCCTCTGTTAGAAAAACAACACAGTGCTTCAGAAGCACTATGCTGAGGCTTGGTTCATCTAACCCGAGTCACGTAATCAGTAATGTTGGAAGCTTCATTTGGTACGTGACTGCTTTCAGTACTTGATTCAATGGTTTAATGAAGTAAATCATTGGTGGGATCTTTGGTGCGTTTTGTGATGATTCTGTGCGAGAGATAGTGAACCAGTGTGCGAGATGTCATGGAGCCAGCGAGGAAGAGAGGACTTTCTGCCTATTCCTAAATAAAAAACAAACAAATAGAATAACTTTATATGTGCTGTGTTTTTATTTTACCAGTTCATTACAAATCCTGCCCACAGGTCACAAACATACATAAGAAATACACTACACATAAAAGTTATAATAGATTATATCAAATGTGCCTGTCCACTGGATAATTACATAACCACATGGAGGCAGGACATCACAGCACACTCCCAACCGATTGTAACAGTCTCTTGTAAATTATTATACATAATGTCACAATACCATGGCACATGTTTTAAACAAGGAAGGTTCATTCATCAAAATTATTTCATAGTGAAACAGACATAACATAAACAGTATCCCGATATCAGACAGAACTTTCACGTGATATTATACAGAAGTTGTCAACTCAGCTCTCTTGAGTGGGCAATTGTAACAAAGTCATTGATTGCAAGCTGTAGATTCAAGCAGCTCTTCATATTTTTGTCCAGCAGATGGCACCAAAGAGGACTGTGTAAAAGCTTTGAGTAATGAACCCTTTTTCAATACAAGCTTTTCAATGCTTAAGAAAGCTTCAGTTGGCCACCACTGGTAGTATGTGATCATCTACACATTTTTTTCTTTTTTCTTTTCACGACATTGTGTCTTTTTAGAGCAGAGCCAAGAAGGCTTCATCTGTGCAAAATTGTCCTTCAATATAGTTTGTCAACAGAGATTATTGCTTTCCTTTTTTTTTTGAATAACTTGCTTTCTTATGAGGACCAGGTGTTCGTTGTGCAACAGTTTAACAAACTGGCATCAGCACTGATAGCTTTTGATCTCAAGAAATAATGTGCACTAACCTTAGCTGAAGAGGTTGATTTTGTCTGGGTTGGCAAATTGGTGAATGAGTCCAGTCATCGAGGGTGTTTTGATGAGGATGCAGCTCCATTTTTTGTCTTTTTCTTCTCCATTGTAATATTTGCTAATGGCACGAATAAATGTAGTATTTCAGCTCATCCAGGTTGAAATCAGGAGTTAATGTAAAAAAGTGTGAAGAGAATGTGTTTATTCTGCTGGATTGTTTCAGAAGTGGTCCT